GAAAAGTTGACGTTTGAAAAGTTTTGCTCATCTATTGATACAAAACACAAGATCTTCACAAATCTGGATCAACTGACCCGACAATTGGACTATAAATTGGATTATTTTGTTGTGTTTTCGTCCGTCACTTGTGGTAAAGGAATGCCGCCAGTTAGTTTGATAAGTAAACCATTGAGATAAACGCTCGCATATACACTTCTCTCTGCATCCCTACCAGACGTGCCTGAGCGGTATGTTATGCCTGGGCAGCCACTACACGGGGTGTTTGAGGGCACCGATCAGTTGCTATTGTTATCAACACTGAGAAAACAGCGAATCAACTCGTGTTGCGATGTTTTGGACAAATTATTGTCAATTAAACAACCGATTGTCACTTCATATGTAAATAACATAATTTTAAATTATTGCTATTATTTAACAAAATCAATAAAATACAGGTAAAAGTGGATCAAACAAAGGAAGAAAGTACTAGTCGAGGCAAACGGATGATCCGAGAACTGTGGCGAGCGTTGGGTATCGACCCGGAGATCACACCCAACCACTTGACTCTCGGCGAGATTGGCATTGAATCCATGTTTGCCGTTGAGTTGCAACAGGAGTTGGAGAGGGACTGGAATACGAAGGTATCGCTAAATCAGGTGAAGAGTATAACTATCGGTATGTTGAAGGACTACGAGGTGGGCGCTGTTGGCGAAATCAAAAAGCATTTGGACGATATCAAAAGGGCTAGACTCGCCCTTCTAAAGTTGAATTTCGTGATGCCTACCCAAACCCATACACCGCTCAACACTGTAACAAAAGGGACGCCCATATACTTTATGCCACCCATTTTGGTGTCATTTGGTGCTATGGAAGAGTTGGCCCAAAGAATTAACCGACCGGTGATTGGTCTGAATTGGACCCGTGAGGTGAGCGCACTGACCACTATGAAAGCGGTGACCGCCTATTACGTGAAGCTACTGAAAACGCTTGAGCCGAAAGGCAAGTGCGATGTGTTGGGCTATTTCGACGGCGCCATCATTTGCTCAAAGTATTTGCTGAAGGGAATGGTTGGGCGGGCGGTGATCATCGACGTGATCAACGACACCCGCTTTCGGGACGAGTTTATGACCGACGAGTATATACTCGAATATTTGCTGTCATTCCTCTCCAACGCCATTCCCGACTCGTTCAGAGAGAAAATACTGCGTGATTTGAAAAAGGAGCAGGGTATGAGTGGCAAACTCAAGTTCATTGTCAACGAGTTGGGCGACTTTGCGGGCAAAGGTCTGGTGGCCACTGATATGGAGGAGATCTTTGAAGTGATGATAAGCAGAATTCAAATGCTTTCCAAATACCGAATGGAAAAGAAGAAGAAGTTGTCCAACAAATTGAAGACAACGATCGGCAAGAAGTGGTCCACAAAGACGGGTAAACTCGTTATCATTAAACCGTTTCAGTTTGAATTGTGCGAAGACGTCGACGAGACTATGGAGAAGGCACGCGACACTTATTTTCTACCTGGATCAAATGTATGTGGTGCAAATATTTTGTTATTTTTAAGTAAATGATTTGAATGCTAAATTTGATGTTGGCCATTTTTTGTTTAGAATTTGTTGTATCTCTATGTTTTATAACATCATTTTAAATAATTAGAAGTTCATCAGCTAGACTAGTCATCACAGCAATTAATATTTTTCAGAGAGAGAGAGAGAGAGAGAGAAAATACTGCGTGATTTGAAAAAGGAGCAGGGTATGAGTGGCAAACTCAAGTTCATTGTCAACGAGTTGGGCGACTTTGCGGGCAAAGGTCTGGTTCATTATAGACAATTTTAAGAGAGAGAGAGAGAGAGAGAGAGAGAGAGAGAATTACAACTTATTTGTGATATATCGTTATGCATATATTTGTGTATTTAATTATATAACTAATTTATTGTTTCTACCTGACCAGGATGGCAATGACAACATCATTACAGAGGCAATCGACAACCACACCAACTCGATTGACATAGCTCACGCCATTATTGCCGACAAAATTGTGGAGGCATTTATATAATCAAACGCTTTCTTTTAGCAATCAATACAAATGCTGTAACTGTTATATCGGAATATTGATACAATTATAATCATTTATTAGAAATATAAAGTTTTTGTGTTTATTTTAAATTGCATTTATAAAATAGCAAAAATTAAAAATGTAGTTTTATTAATAGATGTTAATAAAAATATTTTATAAAAATAAAATATATTTGTTTTAATGTGGCTTTATTTTAAAAAGGTTTTATGGTAGCACTAATATACCTTACAAAATTGTTAATGCATTTAATGGATTATAAACCCAGTATACACTAAAAGATTCATTATTCACAATGCACAACTAAGTTTGACAGACATATACTGTAGAAATCTTCAGAATTTAAATTTGAATTTTATTAAATGTATTTGCCAATTTATGTTTTACTAATTTTTAAATGGTTAAAGTGGTACATGTATAATATTTATATCAGCACAAACTTAAATTATTATAGTTAATCCATTTAGTAAAGCCTATTTAGTAAAGTTTCAATTTATACAAATACATTATAAGTGAGCATAATTATAAATACGTGTGGAGATTAATTATAAATAACAATCTGGAGCTCATGAACTGTACATTGTATATTTAAATTAACTAATACCAATTAAATGCTCGTTAGAGAACAATCTCATTTCAATATGTTTATCAGCTTTTATGAAATAATATTAATGTCACTCTTTTACATTAAGTATTCTATAAGGACTATTGTCCTAGGTTATATTAGATAAAATATTAGTTATATAATGTACCAATACTGATAAATTAAGAATACGATAAATTGGTTATTCTTTGTTCAATTATGTAAAGGGTATATAAACGGTATGCGATCTTTTAAATTGCACAAAATAAATCAAACTAGTTTAATTTGAAACAATTGAAGCTATGAAAGGATTATTATTGTGTGCTCTGGTTTTGATGGGTTTGGTGGCCGGCATGTGGTGTCGCTGTGGCACAGATGGCAAGTGCCCCTCAGGCCAGTGCTGTATGTTAGACATACACACCATTACCGAGTCATGTGTTACTCACGTCAAGAAAGGCGATGGAGGCTGTGGTCCCCGACAAACTGGATATGTATGTTTTAAATTAATTAAATTAATTAAATTAAAATTATAATTATTTCCATTGGTATTACCGAGTCATGTGTTACTCACGTCAAGAAAGGCGATGGAGGCTGTGGTCCCCGACAAACTGGATATGTATGTTTTAAATTAATTAAATTAAAATTAAATTTTAATTATAATTATTTCCATTGGATATATTAATAGTTTAAATATAATATTATAAATATAGATATTGTAATTTATGTTAGATAATAATTATGATACTGCCGTTTGTTTAACTACATCACCTGTATTTCAATTAGCCTGCTGATAATATTATAGCTACTTTAGGTTTTTGTCTAATTAAAAAGTTACCTTACTTTATTTGTATTATTAAACTTAATATTTATGTTAATTTAAAGAATATTGAATGATAAATGCTAAAATATTTTGTAAGTACACAATGTAATTTGAACATTTTATAATTCTTGTAGAAATGCGGATGTGAGCCTGGTTCAAAATGTCAATCGTATCAAAAACAACTGTGGAATGGAAACCAATGGATTACTGTCACTGATTATAAATGCGCTTAAATGACATATTTAATTATTCATAATTTGTAAACTTGCAATTGCTGTTTATTTAATAAAATATCTTTTAGTAAATTATGCGTTTTAAATATTTTTCTTCTAGAAACTTTAATACATGTTTTCTAGAGTACTGTATTATATAAAGATTAGCATTAAGAATATTTTAGCGTTGGTTTACAGGATAACCCTCAACAGAAATTAGATATAGATTATACTATAGAAGTGATAGAGCAAGATAAGTGTCATTTGAGTGTCATTTTGACAATATTTGCATGAAAATAGATGTAAGAAATTATGGTATTTAGAAGTGTAAATGTATATAAAAATACTGATTAATAATCATAATATGATATTATCATATCACAAGACCTCACTTAATTGTTCAATTATACTTAACCTCTAAATAAAGTAAATTACACAATTATCACTACTTAAAACTTTGCTAGAGTAATAATACTAAGCCCCACAGTAATTGCAAAACGGCATATGACCACCGCAGCAACTGAACCGTTATTTTCATCAATAATATCTGCATATACAAAAAGAGGATAGCATATGTATAAGAAGAGCAAAATAGAATAGTTGTATTAACATTTGTCAATTAAGCATTTGTATTCATTGGAAAACCATAAAATTTTGTCTAAAATGTTGAGCAAATCATTTCTATTACAAGCGCTGGTAGTGATGACACTAATGGTCAGCATTCACTGTCTTCTATGCAATAATGACGGCGATTGTCCCACCAATGAGTGCTGCGTTAAAGGCTTACTTGCGGATCAGGGAGTTTGCAACGACCTATTGCCCAAGGGCACTTCGTGCAAAAACACTGTAAGATCTTTTACTTTACTCCAAAATATTAACGTAAAAATATAATAATGTATAGTTATTTAATTGTTATAATATCTCTACATAATATCTATTTGCAAACGGCAGTATAAATTATTATATATAACACAATATTTTTAAATTATGTGCTTAAATATAAACTATATACTATTTTAAACCCTATACAGCACTGCCCATGTGGACCTAACCTTGTTTGTAGGATTACCGATGTTGGACCACACGGTCACTACAGCAAAGATTGCGCTGTGCCAGAAAACAGTACATTACTACATTAACTAGCTAGTTTTGTTGGTAAATTATATAAAGGCAAATCAGGCTTTACAAATCAGGCATGATATGATAAAATATAATTATTTATTAAACAAAAATATTTTTGAAACTCATAAAAATAATTTTTTGCATTAAAAAACCAAAATATTTAACAAACAATATTTATTTAGAGAAATTCTATAATTATTAAACTAAAATATTTTAAAGTAAAGTAAACTAAAGCTAAAACAACGAATAAATTTAAAGATTTATAATAATAATAAAACATTTGACATTCTTTAATTAAATTGAAATAAAATAATTACCCATGGTTAATATCTGAACATTTTAAATAAAAAATTAATTATGAATATAACTTTTAAATAGAAACAAATTACAGAAATTTGTTATTATTGTGATTGTTATATTTAATAAAAGCCCACAATAAACTTCGGGTCGGGTCAAATCCCAACCTCTTTGCATTATGTTATTGATGGACAGCACCGGCAATGTTAACGGACTGGCGTAAGAAAGCCAACGGAAATAACTGGGAATTGCCTCCACAGTCCATATAATACCGGACATTATAATCATGGGAAAGAAAAAGAAGCACATTGAAATCTACAAGAAATAAAATAAGTTGAATAAATAAATTAATTAATTAAATAATTAATGATGGACATTTACAGTCACGTTAATGGTGTCGGTCAAAATTAGGGAAAACATTAATCCAATTGAAATTCCTGATAAAACTTCGGTCAATAGAAGTAAAAATATTTCCCAATAACTTCCCGATTGTTGAACGCCATACACAACAAACACCACTGCCATCGATATTAGCACTTGTACCACACCGGCAACCATGTTCATAAACATGTAAGCAACCATGTATTCTTGGGCCGTAACACCAGTCATAAACACCCGGTTCATTGTGTCAACTGATTTATCAAGCAGAAATGCCGATAAAACCATAGGCATGGTAAATGTGATAGCTAATAGTAGACCTGGACCCACGTAGCTAAATGTGGACATAAAATCTACTAAATTACCATGTAGCACTTCATGTACATTTAACGCAGTTGTTAATTGATAGATATTAGTTTTGTTGAGCATTTGCCCTAGATCGTTCATAAATGTATTCAGTGCAATTATAAGATATTTAATGCTCATTATGCTTATTAGAGGATCTGTGGAAAAAAATAAGTTTATTAATGTAAAATAACATAGTATGTAATTAAAATAAAACTAACTTGATAAATCAATGTACATTCTGATAGCACTATTGTTCAGTACATCATCGCTGGTGTCAAACATGTCGACCACTCGTGACTCAAAATTGTCTGAAAAGTTGGTCCGAAATTCAAGCGCCAAATAATTGTCACCATTTGTTACCGACTGAACGGCGCTATCAATGGATGTGTAGTGAGATATCCGCATATTTTTATCATTAATTGAATTAATAAACAGATTAGACAGAGATAATTGATCTATATTGTCTACATCACCATTATATATGGCAATTGGTATGTGTTTTATATCATTGGAAATATAAATGTTCATTGAGGCCATCGATATAATGACCAGGGTGTAATATGCACACATGAATAGCGGTCTCCTTTTGATAGCAATCCATTGCTTTATTAGCATTGCTTTTATACGTTGAAAATCAATGAACGCATTGTTATTGTACTTAATATTTGTTTCATTTGTTGTCAAAATGTTATTATTATTTAAATCGATGTCTGCATTGCTTTCCCATTTATTCAAGTCTTGTCTCAAAGCAACGGTGTTTTCCGTTGAGTGACACAACTGTAGGAACACGTCCTCCAGTGTCGGGCACTCGTATTCATCCATCAATTGTTGGGGATTTGATTGTCTCAATACAGCGCCGGATCTCATAAACGCCACGTTATGTGCACTCCGGGCCTCTTCTATATAATGTGTTGTTATTATCACTGTTTGGCCTAAAATTATACATAAAATAAAATTATATTTGTAATATTTTTACTTATTATACCATTTTTATTGCATATATCCTCCAAGTATTGCCATATCCTATGCCTGAGCAGAGAGTCCACACCAACAGTGGGCTCATCCAATATAACGAGTCTGGGTTTGTGTAACATTGTTATGGCGATCGACACCCGGCGCTGTTCGCCACCGCTTAATACACCGATAAGTCTCGACAAATCGGGCAAATCTAATAAACGACGCAAACCTTCCAATTGATAGTTAATTTCAACACAATTCATACGATATAACAATCCATAATAATTGATTATTTCACTGATTGTGAATTCATTGAAAAGTGCCAACGTTTGTGGCATATAACCAACACCAGGGCCACATATGCCTGAACTTTTAAAACCTGACCATTCACCATAGACATGTATTGTACCACATTTCAACGCTAATTGCCCTAAAATGATCTTGATTAATGTGGTTTTACCAGCTCCGTTTGGCCCCAGCAAAGCAAATATTTTCCCTAAATTGTGAATATTTTTTAATAATTTTTTTTAGATGAATTATTTTAAGGTGGTATGTTTTTTGATAATAAATTCTACTCACCTTTTGGTATAATCAGGGACAATTTATTTAATATTATATTATTTGGTTTATAATAAAATACAGCATCATGCAATGCAATAGATAAATATTTTTGGTTATTAAAATTATTATGATTATTCGACATTTTCACATTCAAAATATTATGGTACTATTTCAATGATATTTTTTAAATAAAGAATAATTGAAAATTTACAAAATTACATTTAAACTTTGTTTTGTAAAACATTATAGACAATTTTAAGAGAGAGAGAGAGAGAGAGAGAGAGAGAGAGAATTACAACTTATTTGTGATATATCGTTTTGCATATATTTGTGTATTTAATTATATAACTAATTTATTGTTTCAAACTGACCAGGATGGCAATGACAACATCATAACAGAGGCCATCGACAACCACACCAACTCAATAGACATCGCTCACGCCATAATTGCCGACAAAATTGTGGAGGCATTTATATAATCAGACGCTTTCTTTTAGCAATCAATACAAATGCTGTAACTGTTAGATCGGAATATTGATAAAGTTATAATCATTTATTAAAAATATAAAGTTTTTGTGTTTATTTTAAATTGCATTTACAAAATAGCAAAGATTAAAAATGTAGTTTTATTAATGTTAATAAAAATATTTTATAAAAATAAAATATATTTGTTTTAATGTGGCTCTATTTTAAGAAGGTTTTATGGTAGCACTAATTTACCTTACAAAATTGTTAACGCATTTAATGGATTATAAACCCAGTATACACTAAACGATTCATTATTCACAATGCACAACTAAGTTTGACAGACATACACTGTAGAAATCTTCAAAATTTAAATTTGAATTTTATTAAATGTACTTGCCAATGTATGTGTAATTAATTTTTAAATGGTTAATGTGGTACATACCAGTTGGTACATGTGGTTAATGTAGTAATATTTTTGTCAGCACAAACTTAAATTATTATAGTTAAGCCTATTTAGTAAAGTTTCAATTTATACAAATACATTATAAGAAAGCATAATTATGATTACGTGTGGAGATTAATTATAAATAACAATCTGGAGCTCATGAACTGTACATTGTATATTTAAATTAACTAATACCAATTAAATGCTCGTTAGAGAACAATATCATTTCAATATGTTTATCAGCTTTTATGAAATAATATTAATGTCACTTTTTTACATTAAGTATTTTATAAGGACTATTGTCCTAGGTTATATTAGATAAAATATTAGTTATATAATGTACCAATACTGATAAATTAAGAATATGATAAATTTGTTACTCTTTGTTCAATTATGTAAAGGGTATATAAACGGTATGCGATCTTTTAAATTGCACAAAATAAATCAAATTAGTTTAATTTGAAACAATTAAAGCTATGAAAGGATTATTATTGTGTGCTCTGGTTTTGATGGGTTTGGTGGCCGGCATGTGGTGTCGCTGTGGCACAGATGGCAAGTGCCCCTCAGGCCAGTGCTGTATGTTAGACATACACACTATTACCGAGTCATGTGTTACTCACGTCAAGAAAGGCGATGGAGGCTGTGGTCCCCGACAAACAGGATATGTATGTTTTAAATTAATTAAATTAAAATTATAATTTTAATTATAATTATTTCCATTGGNCCCCGACAAACAGGATATGTATGTTTTAAATTAATTAAATTAAAATTATAATTTTAATTATAATTATTTCCATTGGATATATTAATAGTTTAAATATAATATTATAAATATAGATATTGTAATTTATGTTAGATAATAATTATGATACTGCCGTTTGTTTAACTACATCACCTGTATTTCAATTAGCCTGCTGATAATATTATAGCTACTTTAGGTTTTAGTCTAATTAAAAAGTTACCTTACTTTATTTGTATTATTAATATTAAACATAATATTTATGTTAATTTAAGAATATTCAATAATAAATGCTAAAATATTTTGTAAGTACACAATGTAATTTGAACATTTTATAATTCTTGTAGAAATGCGGATGTGAGCCTGGTTCAAAATGTCAATCGTATGAAAAACAACTCTGGAATGGAAACCAATGGATTACTGTCACTGATTATAAATGCGTTTAAATGACATATATAATTATCCATAATTTGTAAACTTGCAATTGCTGTTTATTTAATAAAATATCATTTAGTAAATTATGCGTTTTAAATATTTCTTCTTCTAGAAACTTTAATACATGTTTTCTAGAGTACAGTATTATTTAAAGATTAGCATTAAGAATATTTTAGCGTTGGTTTACAGGATAACCCTCAACAGAAATTAGATATAGATTATACTATAGAAGTGATAGAGCAAGATAAGTGTCATTTGAGTGTCATTTTGACAATATTTGCATGAAAATAGATGTAAGAAATTATGGTATTTAAAAGTGTAAATGTATATAAAAATACTGATTAATAATCATAATATGATATTATCATATCGCAAGACCTCACTTAATTGTTCAATTATACTTAACCTCTAAATGAAGTAAATTACACCATTATCACCACTTAGAACTTTGCTAGAGTAATGATGCTAAGCCCCACAGTAATTGCAAACGGCATATGACCACCGCAGCAACTGAACCGTTATTTTCATCAATAATATCTGCATATATAAGAAGAGCAAAATAGAATACTTGTATTAACATTTGTCAATTAAACATTTGTATTCGTTGGAAAACAATATAATTTTGTCTAAAATGTTGAGCAAATCATTTCTATTACAAGCGCTGGTAGTGATGACACTAATGGTCAGCATTCACTGTCTTCTGTGCAATAATGACGGCGATTGTCCCACCAATGAGTGCTGCGTTATTGGCTTACTTGCGGATCAGGGAGTTTGCAACGACCTATTGCCCAAGGGCACTTCGTGCAAAAACACAGTAAGATCTTTTACTTTCCTCTAAAATATTAACGTAAAAATATAATAATGTATAATTATTTAATTGTTAAAATATCTATTAAGTACAAACGACAGTATAAATTATTATATATAACACAATATTTGTAAATTATGTGCTTAAATATAAACTATATACCATTTTAAACCCTATACAGCACTGCCCCTGTGGACCTAACCTTGTTTGTAGGATTACCGATGTTGGACCACACGGTCACTACAGCAAAGATTGCGCTGTGCCAGAAAACAGTACATTACTACATTAACTAGCGAGTTTTGTTGATAAATTATATACAAATCAGGCATGATATGATAAAATATAATTATTTATTAATCAAGAATATTTTTGAAACTAATAAAAATAATTCTTTCCATTAAAAAACCAAAATATTAAACAAACAATATTTATTTAGAGAAATTCTATAATTATTAAACCAAAATATTTTAAAGTAAACTAAAGCATAAACAACGAATACATTTAAAGATTTATAATGATAATAAAACATTTGACATTCTTTAATTAAATTGAAATAAAATAATTATCCATGGTTAATATCTGGTTAATATGTAAACAGAAGATTAATTATGAATATAATTTTTAAATAGAAACAAATTATAAAAATTTGTTATTATAATAATTGTTATATTTAATAAAAGACCATAATAAACTTCGGCTCGGGTCAAATCCCAACCCCTTTGCATTATGTTATTGATGGACAGCACCGGCAATGTTAACGGACTGGCGTAAGAAAGCCAACGGAAATAACTGGGAATTGCCTCCACAGTCCATATAATACCCGACATTATAATCATGGGAAAGAAAAAGAAGCACATTGAAATCTACAAGAAATAAAATAAGTTGAATAAATAAATTAATTAATTAAATAATTAATGATGGACATTTACAGTCACGTTAATGGTGTCGG